AGCATTCCTCCTCCTCCAAACACGGCGAGTTGAGTTGATGCCAAAGAGCTTGATTTTGGTCTCATCTGACCACAACACTTTCAACCAGTCCTCCTCTGCATCATTCAGATGTTCAGTGGCAAACTTCAGATGGGCCTGGACATGTGCTTTCTTGAGCAGAGGCACCTTGCGGGCACTGCAGGATTTCAGTCCTTGTCGGTGTAGTGTGTTACCAATTGTTTTCTTGGTGACTGTGGTCCCAGCTGCCTGGAGATCATTGACAAGATCCTCACGTGTAGTTCTGGGATGATTCCTCACTGTTCTCATGATCATTGACACTCCATGAGGTGAGATCTTGCATGGTGCACCAGACCTAGGGAGACTGACAGTTGTTTTGTGTTTCTTCCATTTGCGAATGATTGCACCAACTGTTGTCACCTTCTCACCAAGCTGCTTGGCGATAGTTTGGTAGCCCAGTCCAGCCTTGTGTAGGTCTACAATCTTGTCCCTGACATCCTTGGACAGTTCTTTGGTCTTTGCCATGGTGGAGAGTTTGGAATCTGATTGTTTGATTGCTCCTGTGGAGAGGTGTCTTTTACACAGGTAACAACATGAGATTAGCAGCACTCCCTTTAAGAGACTGCTTCTAATCTCAGTTTGTTACATGTATGAAAGACACCTGGGAGCCAGAAATCCTGCTGAATGATAGGGGATCAAATACTTATTTCCCTCATGAACATGCAAATCAGTCATCATTTGTTAGACATGCATTTCTGCTGAATTTTCTGTTGCTATTGTCTCTCAGTGTTACAATACACCGAACATTCGATTTTTAGACCGATCATTTCTTTGTGAGTGGGCAAACATTCAAAATCAGCAGGGGATCAAATACTTTAGACTCACTTTATGATGGTAAATTATAACTGCCTCTTCCAACTATTGATCAAAATCCATATTTGCATGTGGGGCATATTAATGGAATGAGTTGTTGACTATAGATCAATTATTCCTATTTAAGAAATTGATCCAAAAAGAAATGGATTATTTCTCGAAGTGTGTATGACCACCATTAGGGATTATATACATTCAATAAATACAGTAATAACATTATGATAGAATCAGATAAACAAACCAAACACTTTTTTTAATATAAAGGAACAATATCTAGCACGAAGATTTGGTCATCAATAGATAAAACCCTCTTGTATATCATCCAGAAAATTCTATCATTATTAACGCCATTGTATAAAAAGATCATAAAGTGAATGAACACTGCACATGTTTATTAAAATGTGCCATTTAAAACAAAAAGTAATTTTTAAATTGATGGCAACTACATATCTCAAAAAAGTTGGGATGGGCAACAGATTTAAGGCAAAGTAAGTGTCACTGACAACGAAGTGCTGGAAGAATATTTTGCAACCAATTAGATTCATTGTCAACAGGTCAGTAACTTGGGTATAAAAAGAGCATCTTAGAGAGTCTCAGAAATAAGGATGCATAGAGGTTCACTAATCTGTGAAAAGCTGTGTCTTAAAATCATCAATTTTGAAATAATATTCCTCAACATAAACATGCAAAGACTTAATATTTACAGTATATGATATCATCAAAGATATAGAGAATCTGGAGAAATCTGTGTGCAAGGACAAGACCAAAACACAATATTGGATGCCCGTGATCTTCAACTTCTGGCCCTCAGACGCCACTGCATTAACCTCTTGCCGTCCGCCCTGCTGTTTATAAACGGCAGGGCGGTGGCAGTCCAGGGGCGGGTTGCTGTTCCTAAACGGCACCCGCCTTTTCTAGCTGTGCGCGCTCCCTTGGAACGCGCAGCACCGCGATCCGGTGTCCGCTGTGTCCTCCGGACACAGTGAAACACCGGTCGTCGGACGGGACCTCTGTACGAGGTCCCGATCATGTGATCACTGATTGGCCAATCAGTGATCACATGCAAAGTAGTAAGCAAGATGTCACTTGTGACATCATTGCTTACTACGTGTGAAATCTGTGAATGATCACAGAGGTCACATGGTACAAGGCTATTCACAACAGCCTTGTACCATGTGACAAGCTGTGACCAATCACAGCTCACTCAGTACTTCTCAATAACTGCAAGAATGCAGACAGAGATAAAGAGAAATGATTGATTTTACATCCTATATGGGTGTAAAAGCAATCAGTGTAAAAAAAAAAAATTTTTTTCATCAACCCCCACAAGTAGTACAGTGTCACCATGGTGACACTGTACTGCTAGGGTGACAGTATGTAAAAATAAAAATAAAAAATAATATAAAAAATAAAAATGTAAAAAAAAAATGTTTAATAATTATAATTTTTGGTTATAAACTAATTTGGATTTTTTTTTTACTAAAAAAATAACGGAATAAATTTTGGCCAAGATTTATGATGAAATATTATTTATTTGCAAAATTTTATAAAAAAAAAAACACTTTTTTTCAAAATTTTTGGACTTTTTCATTTACATAGTAAAAAAAATAAAAATCCCAGCGGTGAATAAATACCACCAAAATAAAGCTTTATCTGTCTCAAAAAAGTGGTAAAAAATTCATATGGGTACAGTATTGCATGACCGCGCAATTGTCATTCAAAGTGTGATAGCGCTGAAAGCTGAAAATTGCCCTGGACAGGAAGGGGGTAAAAGTGTCCGGACAGGAAGTGGTTAAAAACAGACATGATTCTGTGATGGATATCAGTGCATGGACTCAGGAATACTTCCGTTTACTGTGCCATCCAAAAATGGAAGGTAAAGCTCTATCATGCTATGAAGAAGCCATATCCGAACATGTTCCAGAAATGCTGCCAACTTCTCTGGGCCACAGCTCATTTAAAATGGTCTGTTGCAAAGTGGAAAACTGTTCTTTGGAATGATGAATCAAAATTTGACATCTTTCTGGCAGCCATGGGCACCGCACCTCAGAACCTAAAAGGGAGACGGACCTTTGGTTTTCTTATCAGCGCTGAGTTCAAAAGCCTGCATCTCTGATGGTATGGAGGTGGGTTAGTGCTTATGGAATGGGATCCTTTCACATCTGGAAAGCCACTATTAATGCTGAAAGGTATATCCAGGTTTAAGAGGACCATATGCTAAGGTAAGGATGGGACAACGTTCCTCTCTCAAAACTCTATCAACTGGTCTCCTCAGTTCCCCGACATTTACAGAAAGTTGATAAAAGAGGGGATGCTACATCGTGGTAAATATGGCCTTGTTCCAAATTCTTTAGAATTGGGGCTGTACTCTGCCAGCTGTTTATTGCCCTGTCCCAATTTGATTGAGATGTGCTGCTGTCATCAAAATGTCCTTATTTTTTTCTTAAGATGGTACATTTTCTCAGTTTAACCGTTGCAGACTTTGGACATGCTACACATGGCCAAAAAACCCGTATTCATTGTACACAGAATGTGTGTAGTACATCTAGCCTCTCTGTGCTACTTCTGGGACCCCCCCCCCCCCCCCCCCCCCGGTACACTGACCTTTTCTCTCTTTTTAATGCCTGCTTTACAATATACTCAGAGAAGGCAGCCGTAGCTGTCAAAAAAAGCAGTCCGAGGCTCCATTCACACTTGCGTAACTCCACAGTCACATGATTTCCAGTGCGACTTTGGAGCATGGCTATGATCTGACTTTACACTCTCTAGATCAAAGTTGCATCAAAAGTTGCTTCAAAGTAGTGCGGGCAACTTTTCAAAGTCACTGCGACTTTAAAGCGGAGTTCCTCCCAAAAGGGAAAGTTCCGCTTTAAGTCTTTGTCCCCGCTCCCCATTAAGGATTGGCACTTTTGGGGAGCAGGAGGGGGGAGAGTGGGCACCCCAATTTGACAGGTACCCGCTCCCACTTCCTCTGCAATCGCCTAAGGCAATTGAAGAGGAAGTTGTCCTCCCCCATCCCTCCCCGTAGTCTTCTGGGATGTATGACAGGTCCCAGAAGACTACGAAACCCTTTACAAAGCGTAGCGCTTCTTGGGCATGCTCAGTGGGCACCCGGCTGTGAAGCTGCAAGCTGTCACAGCCGGGTGCCCACACTGAAGATGCCGGCGCCAGGGAGAGAAGACGGCCAGTGAAACCAGCAGTGTTGAGGACACTGCTGGACCGAGGGACAGGTAAGTGACTGTATTTTAAAAGTCAACAGCTACAGTTTTTGTAGCTGTTGACTTTTTTTTCAGCTGGAACTACGCTTTACGTTGCACCGATTTGAAGGGGTGCCACTGAAAAAATAGGCTGCAACTTGTCATGCGACTTTAATGGCCTAAGTTGCATGACAATTCATATAAGTGTGAATAGAGCCTGAATCAGTGTTTATAAAACAACACTGGTCAGACCATGATCATTCACTTGCTGACCACCCACAGCACTTATTGCAGGCAGGAGGCATGTACAGGCAGAATTTACGGCCCAGGGGTCGGTTTAATACGGCCCTCCAACAGCCCTCCCTACTCTGTGTAATGTGGCCCTCCCACGGCCCTCCCTTCTATGGCAGACAGTCCTCTGCTTGAGAGCAGAGGGCAGTTGCGCATGGCCTGAACTGCGGCACGTTCTCCTTCCCCTGGTCTTGTGGAAAATGCTGCTGTCTGCAACGGCCCACCCTTCAGAAACTGTGGCTTCCCCCATGGTCCAGCAGTGGAACAGTATACTTATATCTGGTACTCCCCGACACCCTGCATTCAACTATATCTATCTGGTCTCCCCGGACCCGGCACACACTATATCCGCATCCTCGCTCGGGACCCTCCATTCACTGATATTCCTGCTTCTCCACCCCCGGGACCCCCGCATTTTCACTATAGTCCGTCTCCGCTTCCCCGTACCCGTGCATTCACTAATATCTGGTCTCCCCGGACACAGCATTCAGTGTACGCCGACTATATCCCGATCTGCTCTCCGTCCCCGGACCCTGCATTTACTATATCTCCGGTCTCCCCACACCCTGCAATTCACATATATCTGGTCTCTGCCGCCAGGAACCCTGCACTCACTATATCTGGTCTCCCCCGGACCCTGCAAATCTCTATATCTGGACTCCCCGGAACCTGCATTCCACTATATCAGGTCTCCCACGGCGCCCTGCATTCAACTATATCTGAGTCTTCCCCGGACCCTGCATTCACTATATCTGGTTCTCCCCGGGCCCTGCATTCACTATATCTGGTCTCCCGCCCGGACCCACTGCATTCACTATATCTGGTCTCTCCCGGCACCCTGCATTCACTATATCTGGTGCACCCCCTGACCCTGCATTCACTATATCCTGGTCTCCCCGGTGCCCTGCATTCACTATAATCTGGTCCTCCCCGTACCCTGCATTCACTAAATCAGGTCTCCTCCACCGTAGCGACCCTGCATTCACTAGATCTGGTCTCTCCGGGTCCCTTGCCATTCACTATAATCTGGTCTCCCGGCACCCATGCATTCACCTATATTCGGTTCTCCCCGACCTACCCTGCATTCACTATATATTCCTGTTCCTCCCCGGACCCAGCATTCACTATATCCGGTCTCCCTGGACCCCTGCAATTCACAATATGTGATCTCACCCTTACCCTGCATTCACTATATCTGGTCTCCAATCCCCGGGCCCCTGCATTCACAATATCTGGTCCTCCCCGGACCCTGCATTCACTATAATTCAGGTCTCCCCGGACGCCTGCTATTCACTATAGTCTGCGGTCTCCCCCGGGCCCTAGCACTCACTATATCTGGTCTCCCCCCCGAACCCTGCAATTACTATATCTGCTCTCCCCGGACCGCCGCAATTCACTAATCTGGTCTCCTACCGCGGACCCTGCATTCACTATATCTGCTCTCCCCTTACCCCGCATTTCACTATATCGAGTCTCCCCCGGACCCTGCTTTCCACTATATCTGGTCCTCCCCAGATCATGCATTCACTTATAATCTGTCTCCCCAGATCCTGCATTCCACTAATATCTGGTCTCCCTCCAGATCCTGCATTCACTAGATTCGGTCTCCCCAGATCCTCATTCACTAATTCGGTTTCCCCCGGGGCCCTTTCATTCACTATATCTGGGCTCCCTGGACCCTGCATTCCAAATATATTGGTCCTCCCCCGGGGCCCCCCACTCCCCTATATCTGGTCTCCCCCCCGGGCCCCCGCATTTGCTTTTATTGCTTCCCCCCGGGCCCCGCATTTTACTATATCTGCTCTCCCCAGACCCCCCATTTACTATATCCGTTCCCCCCCCGGACCCTGAATTTTTCTAATTTGGGGCTCCCCCCCCAAGGGGCCCGCCTTCACTAAAATCGGGCTCCCGGGGCCCCGGGGGAAAATTTTTTTATTCCCCCCTCCCCCCGAAAACCCCCCTTCACTTTATCCGTTCCCCCGGACCCTGCATTTCACTATATCCGGTCTCCCCCCGGAACCCCCCCTTCACTATACCCGGGCTCCCCCCGGACCCTGCATTCACTAAATCCGGTCTCCCCCGGAACCCCGCAAATTAAAATATCCTTTCCCCTTTCCCCGGAACCCCGCATTCACTAATCTGGTTTTCCCCCAGAACCCCGCATTCCTATATTTTCCCGGGCTCCCCCCGGAACCCCGCATTTTACTTATCTGCCCCCTCCCCGGGCCCCCCGGGGGATTCCTATTAAACTGCTCCTCCCCGGACCCTGCATTTTACTATATTCCGGGCTCCCAGACCCGGGTTTTTCTATATCCCCGGTCTTCCCCCCGACCCCCCGCATTCATTTAAAACCGGGGCTCCCGGAAAACCCGCCCTTTACTAATTCGTCTCCCCGGACCCTGCATTCACTATATCTGGTCCCCCAGGCCCCGCATTCCATATATCCCGGGCTCCCCGGACCCTGCAATTCCCTTTATCCCGGGCTCCCCCGGGCCCCCGCATTTACTATAAATTTGGTCTCTCCAGACCCTTTCAAATTTACTATATTCGGTTTTCCCCAGACCCTGCATTCACTATTTCCCGGGCTCCCCCCGGAAACCCCCATTCACTAGATTGGTCTCCGTTTTGCTTTTTCTTTTTACCCTTGTTTTGTGGATTGGGTTGTGGGGTTTTTTTGTGTTTGTTTGATGTATGGATGTATGGGATTGTGTGATTAAAAAATCCTTGATTATTTCGATTAGAGATGGGGGGGTGGGGGGTGGTGTGGGTGGGGGGGGGTATAAGTGGATGGGTTTTTTTGTTTTAAGGGGGAGGGAGGTATTCACCCTGACTGCAGCCCCCAGAGGTGGAGGAGGGGGGGGGGGGGGGGGGGGGGGGGGGGGGGGCTATGGGGGTTGATGAAGGGTGGGTTGGGGGGGGTAGGGGGTTGGTAGGGCGGAGGGGGGGGGGGGGGGGGGTCTGGGTGAGGAGAGGATTAAGTAGAGGTACCGTGGGGGGGGACATGAATTACTGGTTTATAAAGGGATGTTTGGGGGCCGCGGTTTGTAAATAAAAGAGAAGAGAGTCTGTCTCTCGCGTCAGCCTAATAATAACATGTGTATATGAATAAAATAAATATAATAAAAACTAAAAAAAATACAAACGGAATATATACATAATAATAATAAAACAGAAAAACCAGAAAAAAAGATTTTTTCAGAAAGAATGGCGGTCCCCAAGAGGGTTTAGGGTGAGGCGGGAGGGGGGGGGTGGGGGGGGGGGGGGGAGGGGGCCGGGGGGGTTAACCCCCTTTGGGGGTGCGGGGGAAAGGGGGGAGGGGGGGGGGGGGTGGGCCCCGGGGGGTTGGAAAAAATTCCCAAAAAGGGGGGGGGGGGGGGAGTTGGGGGGGGGGAGGGGGGGCGGCAAAAGAAAAAGGGGGGGGGGGGGGGGGAAAAGGGGGTTTTTTTTTTGGCCCTTGGGGGGACCGGTTGTTTGGGGGGGGGGGGTTTCCCCGGGGTGTGGGGGGGGGGGGTTGGGGGGGGGGAAGGGGGGGGGGGGGGCCCGGGCGTTTGGACGGGGGGTGGGGGGGGGGGGGGGGGGGGGGGGGGGGGGGGGAGGGGCTGGGGGGGGGAAAAGGGGGGGGGGGCCCCGGGGGGGGAGGGGGGGGAGTTTGGGGGGGGGGGGGGGGGGGGGGGGGCCCCCCTGGGGGGGGGTTGGTGGTTAAAAAAAAGGCCCCCCCCCGGGGGGGGGGGGGAGGGGGGGGGGGGGGGGGGGGGGGGGGTTTTTTTTGGGGGGGGGGGCGTGGGGGGGGGGGAAAAGGGGGGGAAAAAGTTGGGGGGGGGGGGGGGGGGGGGGGGGGGTGGGGGTGGGGCCCGGGCTGGGGGGGGGGGGGGTTTTTGGGGGGGGGGGGGGGGGGGGGGGGGGGCGGTGGGGGGGAGGGGCCCGGGGGGGGGGGGGGACCCCCCCGCCCGGGGGGGGGGGGGGAGGGGGGGGGTTTGGGGGGGGGGGGGGGGGGGAGGGAGGGGAAATCTGGTTCGGGGGGGGGGGGGTTTTTTTTCCTTCCTGGGGGGGGGGGGGGGGGATAGATTGGTAATTTGCCCCCCTGGGGGGGGGGGGGGGGGGGGATAAATTGGTTTGGCTTCCTGGGGGGGGGGGGGGGGGGGGGGAGAAAATTGGTAATCTGGTTTCCCCGGGGGGGGGGGGGGGGGGTTTAATTGGTTTGGGGGGGGGGGGGGGGGGGGGGGGGGGGGGGGGGGGGGGGGGGAAATTGGGGGGGGGGGGGGGGGGGTTCCCGGGGGGGGGGGGGGGGGGGGGGGGGGGGGGGGGGGGGAGGGGGGGGGGGGGGGGGGGGGGGGGGGGGGGGGGGGGGGGGGGGAAAGATAGTTTTAAAATCTGGTTCCGGGGGGGGGGGGGGGGGGGGGTGGGGGGGGGGGGGAAATTTGTTTCCCGGGGGGGGGGGGGGGGGGAGATAGATTGGTAATTGTGTGGGGGGGGGGGGGGGGGGGGAAAATTGGAAAATCCCCCGGGGGGGGGGGGGGGGGGGGGGGAGATAGATTGGTAATCTGGCTTCCGGGGGGGGGGGGGGGGGGGGGAGGTTTGGTAATCTGGCTTCCGGGGGGGGGGGGGGGGGGGGGAGATAGTTGGTAATTGGTTCCGGGGGGGGGGGGGGGGGGGGGGGAAATTGGTTTGGGGGGGGGGGGGGGGGGGGGGGGGGGGGGAGATAGATTGGTAATCTGGTTCCGGGGGGGGGGGGGGGGGGGGGTTAGTTGGTAATTGGCTTCCGGGGGGGGGGGGGGGGGGGGGGGTTTGGTAATCTGGCTTCCGGGGGGGGGGGGGGGGGGGGGGGGTAGATTGGAATTGGCTTCCGGGGGGGGGGGGGGGGGGGGGGAAATAGATTGGTAATCTGGTTTCCCCGGGGGGGGGGGGGGGGGGGGAAAAATTGTTGGGGGGGGTTGGTCCCGGGGGGGGGGGGGGGAGATTTTTAAGGCTTGGGGGGGGGGGGGAAAAATTTTAATTTGGGGTTTGGGGGGGGGGGGGGTTTGGGGGGGGGGGGGGGGGGGGGGGGGGGGGGGGGGGGGGGGGGGGGGGGGGGGGGGGGGGGGGGGGGGGGGGGGGGGGGGGGGGGGGGGGGGGGGGGGGGGGGGGGGGGGGGGGGGGGGGGGGGGGGGGGGGGGGGGGGGGGGGGGGGGGGGGGGGGGGGGGGGGGGGGGGGTTTTTTTTTTTTTTTTTTTTTTTTTTTTTTTTTTTTTTTTTTTTTTTTTTTTTTTTTTTTTAAGGGCAGCATGTGGCTAAAATGGTTAAACCTTCCGCCTGGCAGTATAGGGTCGTTGGTTCGAATCCCCAACCCCAGCACCTCCCGCCCGGAGTTTGATGTTTCCTGTGACTGCAGGGTTTCCCCTGGGTCTTTTGTTTCCCCCCCACTCCCAAAAAAAATGTGGTGGTGAATTGTTCCTGTCTAATTGTCCCCTAGTATGGTATGTATGATGTGAGTTAGGGACCCTTTGGGTTTTCCCCTTTTAGGGTTAGGGTGTGTGAAAGTCAATATTTTTAAAGTGCTGGTACATTGAGGCGTTAGAAGGACATGTAATAAATAATACAAGTGCCCGGTAGGCGAGGGGTTAAAGCATCTTGAGACCTTAGAATTGATGAGGAAGGATTTAATCATTCATTTCATTCATTTACTTTTTTTTCAGGATGGGATTTTTCTCTTGTAAGGTTCATTCTTTTATACCAGATTGTTTTGTGGGCCATGATAGTACCTGTGGGGAGACGCGTATCTTCACATCCCCGTACACCCTGCATTTTTAGAAATATGGTCTCAGAAGATCCCATCATTGTCAGCGTCGGGCCCTACCCGGTCGGTCTTAGCGTCGGCCCCTACCTGTCGGTCTAGCGCTCAGTCACTGAGGAATTTTCACAATCTTTAGCAGAGGCTTTGGCCCCCCCCTCAGAATGAAATCTATTACAAACATTCCCTATTTGTTTACAGTTATTAATAACTGGGAAGAGGATCTGCGGGTTTGCTTCAGGGTCTTCTTTACAGGAAGTGTGGGTGAAGTGGCTCATCAGAACAGACAAGTGGGTGCTTGAATCCCTCACAGGGTTTGCCTATTCTGGAGATACGGACATTTCCTCGGGAAGAAAGATCTTCCATCAGGAAAACATGTCGTCGAGAATGAAACCAGGTTTGCTGGCTGAGCAATCTGGTCATTTTCAGTACGAGGAAGTCAATGAAGCCAGTGGGTTCTCTATGACCTCTTGTTTCCCGGACACTCCCTGGGTGAGTTGTCCACCAGCGCTCACCTGCAGTCTTTTCTTCTGAGGATTGTGAAATCGGGAGATAGGACTTTGCTAGATTTCTTCCAGTCCGGCTTCCTTCCAGGATCTAGAGATCCCTTTGATGGCATGTTTGGTGCATAATCTTTGCAGAGATCTGGAGTGGACCACGCCAGCAGATCCATAATTATCGTCGCAACAGATGCCAGCAGCTTTGGTTGGGGAGCCATCTAGGCGGCAGGGTGGCCCCAGGGGTCGTGGTCTTATGAGGAAGCTCGGACCGGTCCTCAAACCTGAGGGACTTCTGGCAGTTCAGTGGGTGTT